TCCGTGGCCGAGTGGTTTGTACGCCGGGTTTCATGGTGTCGCCGACTCGAGAGGTCCCGGGTTCGAATCCCGGCGGGGGCAGATGTTTGTGTGATGAATACGAGCACTTGTACTCCAGTCGTGGATGTTAAATATGTTTTTCTATATAAAATACTTGTATATACATGTACAGTATTGTATTCTATCCGTTACCGTAGTATCCCATAACACAAGCCTTACAGTGCTTATTTGGGGCTAGGCTAATTGGTGTGAGTATAGAAAATATTTATTTATAGACTTTGGCATCCGTACGTTTACCATACGCCATACGCTTTTGTGTGCTATCCCTTTAAGTTATACTATTTTTACTGGAAATTAAGTAGATGCGTTCTATGTTTTTATTCGCTCCCAGTCGATGGACTGGGATGAGAGACACTTTTATATGATACTAGCTGACCCAGCGAACTTCGTACCGCCATAAAATAGGGGCAGGTGGTAGAAGAGAAAATTTGTTTGTTGTGTTGTATGTATTTTTAATACCACATTATAAAAAAACTAGCAAACTGGTTTGCAAACATTTGAACTAAATGTTCACCAAAACCTGATTTCTCGAAAACCGGAAGTGCTACGTTACTCAAATCCGGTTTGTAGTCTTATCAGACTATTCTTAACTTATAACTTAAATATTCTCTTTATCTATCTCTTACGGTTTGGCCGCTGAAACAGCACCACAGACGGACGGACTTGTCTAATAGATAAGAGATAAATAATGTCCAAAAAAATTTTAGGGGTGTGTAACGTAGTGTTCTTTCAATTTCCTGGGATAACATTTCTCGTAACCCATATGAGAACACTACGTTACAATAGTCAATAGTTTCAATTTTGACGCGAAGGCGCATTGTAGGTTTCAGAACACTACGTTACAGGTGGACAACCATTATCGCTTAAGGATATTAAAAAATAGATAGTAGCCGATTCTCAGACCCACGGAATATGCATATAAAATTTCATAAAAATCGGCCAGGCCGTTTCGGAGGAGTATGGTAACTAACATTATGACACGAGAATTTTATCTAGAAGATGAATTGGGTAAGAAAATCAAGAGCTACTGCAGACAAAATTTAGTTTTAGAATAATAACATTTACCTGTAAAAAATTTAGCTTCGAACCAAAAATTTTGAACGCTTACTTATTAATTTTGTTTTATTTTAAGTAATGCTATATTTGTGAGTTCGGTTTAAAGTCAGCATTTTTTTAATCAAAACTTACAACATACAATAATTATTATATTTGCAAGTATGCAGTTAGCAGTTGACGAATGTGAAATGTTTGTACAGCATGTTTCATTAATTTCTATCTCATAATTTGAAAAAAATATTAATCATAAAGTTTTTTTTAGAAGATTTACTGAACCATTAACAATCCATAGTAATGTTATAAATTAGAAAGTGTGTCTGTCCGTCGTGTCCGTAGAAATTTCGTATAGAGACAGGACAAAGAACAGTTATATTCCAGAAATCAACCTTTACGGGTGTGATGGGGTAGGCGTGAAATCTCGTATGAAAAAAAAATTTTCGACGCAGACGAAGCTATGAATTTATAAAAACTTGACTACGACTTATTTCGACATCAATAAAATAAAATAAATAAATAAATATTTCCATCACACCAATTAGTCTAGCTCCAAAGTAAGCACTGTAAGGCTTGTGTTATGGGATACTAGGGTAACGGATAGAATACATAAATATTGTACATATGTAAGTATATTTTTATATAGAAATACATATTTAATATCCATGACTGGAGTACAAATGCTCATATTCACACAAACATCTGCCCCCACCGGGATTCGAACCCGGGACCTCTCGAGTCGCCAACTCCATGAAACCCGGCGTACAAACCACTCGGCCACGGAGGTCGTCGAATATATTTTCAGTCTATTAACGGCCGTGCTCATATTTTTTTCTACGATAATTTGATAAACCGATTTTTCGTAAAAACCCTTGCAACTTTGCGTAAACATTTCTCAGACTCACTGAAGACAGATAAGATTTTTTTAAAAACGCGAGTACAGTGTCGCCCAGTAAGATTGCCAAAAATCGCTTGCTTATTATGAATATTCTTGGGTTCATAGTAGGTTAGGTAAATGTCTTGCCATCCGTTAGTTCTGATTGCAATAAGTGCTGCTTCGATTTTTAGCGTAGATGCTATCTGAGATGTTGATTTTGCCCCTCTAGCATGACCATCGAACGGGATATGATAAAGCGATATATCGACATTAACTGTCAGACTACTGTCAAACCTCCATAGTAGTGTGACAGCTAATGCCGATATATCGCTTTATCATATCCCGTTTCGGTGGTCATGCTAGAGGGGCTGGTAACGTTATGACAAGCACTTCACAAGAAATGAGAAGAAGAGACTTTAAAGTTTACAAATAACAAATAGGACTAGCCATGTGAATATTAAGAATGAAAAGTAAGCAATGAATAAAGCCATGTTGGTACTTATCGAAGCAAAAAAATATCACTAAATGTCCAAGCTGTAGATTTTGCCGCGAATATAATAGCAGTTAATAATTATATGATTGGGCACAGGATATTGACATATATATCTGGACTTCTTTTGACTTTGGTATCTGAGAAAGTGAGTTACTCAAAGTTAACGATTATGAAATATATTATTTCTTGAGTTCAATTCCAATCTTGCGAATCCCTGAAAAGAATCCCAAATGCCAACAGTAATGAAATAAAATCATAAATACATCTCACGCCTTTAATAAGAATTTAAATGATTGTAAACAATACAAACTCTTTGACTTTAATATTTGATTTTAATATTCATTTTGTGTATGACATTATAACCTAACCTAACTTGACCTTTGATTTTTAATTATTTTATTTGATGAAAATTATTAAATTTAAATGATGTAATGTATTAAATTAAATAAATGATTAGGTGTATTTTTAGTGACATGTGCCTATTTCTATAATAATTGATTATGTATTGTTATTATGATTATGAGTTATGTTGCTCGAAATAAATGAATTTTATTTTATTTATTTATTTTATTTGACAAAAGTCTCCCCGAGTTCATCAAGAAAAATGGCGAGCAAAATAAGCGAGCAAATAAAGTTAAAACAACAACAAGTTATCCCCTTTTTACCGCACCGCACCGTACTAACGTATATACAAACGTATAAACGTTTGGCGCACTAGTTTTATGAGCTGTATGGCGATTTTGATAGAATACCTATGCTGGACACACGTGTGTCGTTCGAGAAAAATACCGTGCGACTGCCGTGTCGTAGGACTCTAATAAAATTATAAAAAAAGCGAACTAGATAAAGTTCTACATGTCCGAAATGCGGGACTTTATAGTCTAAAGTAATAACTGTCAGTACACATGACAAGATGTGAATTTCCGGGAAAACTCCGGATTTCTCGGACATCTGGTTTCTGGAATTATTTACATTACTACTAAGATAGACTAAATACAATAAAACATTATGTATTCTAAAGTATATCAGTAAACATTCATATACATTCATTTATTCCTTACATTACACATTATAACTTACACATTATTATAGAAAATTATTGTATTACACAAACTTGCACCCCAATTGATGCTGAACACGACATTTACTTAATTTTAACGCACAAATTTAAAAAAATAAATTATATTAATTAAATTAAATATGCGATTACAATTAATAAAAGAAATAATTAATATATGTATGTATTAATCGAGAATTATAAAGAATTTGCTCCTGCATATTCGTAAGTAGGAGGAGTGGGAAAGGGCAAATATATCCACGACTTTGGCTATTTCATTCTATATAATGGGTCATTGTAGGTAACATTATTATTACAAGTTTGTATGGAAAAAAGTTTTTGCATCCTTTTACTTCCTCCCACATTAAATGAAAAATAAACGGCTCAACAGATCCTCCAATAAACATATAAAGAACAATATAGGTGACAATGAAAAATGCTATTTTATTTATTGCAATAAGCATATGGCCCGCCTGATGATAAACGGCCTCCACCACATATAGACTCATGCGATATAAAAAAATATCGCTCGCGACGTTGTCTAACCTTATCCCCAACCCCGTGGAGTCCTGGAATCATAATCACCGATAGAACCACAACACCACCAAAAGGTAATGTTATTTAAATGTAATCTTCTGAAGAAGAAAAGACAATAAACATCCTACCATATCATTATAGAAAATCAAAATGTTGCTAATTGTGAATCACTCTGTATATGCATCGAACAGAAATGGTATATAATAATAGTTCTACCGCATTAATATCATTATTCTCTATTTCGTCGTTAGAGGTAAGACACCACTATCACACGCGACAATTTTGTTTATTTTCACTCGCAACAATTTTATTTATCTGCTTCGGAATTCGTTCGTATATCCTCCAGGGGTAGGTTTACGTGGGTTAAATAGTTGCAGGCAGTAATAATTATTTAGAGATTCCATATAAACTATCATTTCCTTTTTATTCAAGTTATAATTACAACTTTAAAGTAGCCAAAATCTTTCTCTTAGGTTTTCTTTGTCTCCATATTACCTATAACAACTTATCAAATTGGTTCAGCAATTAAGGAGTGACAGCGTAAAATAAATACAGACAAATAGATATACTTTGCATTTAGAATTTGAGTATTTATTAAATTTTAGTTATGCATACTTGCACGCTACGGACGGACAGACACAGTGTATAGCTGACAACAGATTAGATTTCCATTTCTCAACGTTCTTAAATAAATTTTGACCATTATTTCAACTAGAACAAAGTTAAAGAAATTAACTTTTTTATTGCGCTATGGTGTTTTTTTAAATTGACTCCGTCACGTTTCTTGCTTAGATCCTGAGTTTTTAAACTTGATATTTGTATAAATTCAAGTTGCCTTAAATAAAGTTATCCAGGATAGATTTTGTTTTCCAGGCGAAAGCCAATACAATACAGTAATATAACACAACTTTTTTATATGTCCACAGAATTAATCATCAGAATCTCCTCATCATGACTCTGAAGATCTTCGCTTTACTCCTCTTGGTGCCTGTCATATACGCCAAGATCTCAGTCAACGTGGTGGCATCCGATAATGAAGCCGAACGCGCTGTAGAGTTGGCTGGCAACAACGTGGATATCATCAGTGACAACGAGAGGAGCACCTTCCAGCTGTCAGACAGTAGACTGAAGGATGCCGTGAGGGCGAACTTCGGAAAACGCCCCGACGACGCTTATCTACGAAGCCCTACCCCATGGGGCGACCTGTATTCAAGCTACGACTGGCCCCAAGTCACTAGAACTTTGTCCCCGCAAAAAGCTACAATCCTCGAAGTCTCATCGCAGCCGACCATCGTTCTCACGCAACACTTCGAGAACAACAGCACCAAACCAGCTACGTTCACAGCCAAGATCCAGCAGTCTGTGCAAAACACAGTCACTTCCTCTTGGGAGAAAGGAGGCGAGCTGACGGTCGGCCAAGATATTGAATACGGCTTCGACATCAAAGCCGTCTCCGTCGGGGGAAAGACCTCCTTCTCTTTCACTTCGAAATGGGGCGAGAGCGTGTCCAAATCTGAGTCTGTGACTGTAGGCTCTGAATCAGGAGTCACGATCACCCTGGATCCGCACCAAAGCGTGGTCGCTGAGTTGTATGCTACTCGCGGTAGCATGAGGATAAAGGTGGACTACGAAGCCACTTTGTCAGGCGTGACGGCGATCAACTACAGCAAACCGTACCAAGGTCACCACTTCTGGGCACTGGCCATCAACTCTGTGATGTCTTCCGGCAATATCCCAAGGTCCGTCAAATCCAGTGAGGTCATCAAAATGGGCTACTACTCCAACTCCCACGTTGTCATCAAGGATGCCCACACGAAGACTATGCTGTACTCTGTCCCCATACAAATACCGACTTACTGATTTCTTTGTAGTTTGTCTTGTAAATAAATTCCTTTTTTATACTCTTACTGGTTTTTGTTTTATTTATTTAAAATATAGTTAGATGTGAAACAATAGTTCTGGTTTATTGAATTAGTAACAAATAAGTGCACATAGTAGAAATACTATCAATGGTATGTTTTACTAGATTTTTTCATGTGAAACATCTATAGGAGCACGTAAAAACGATTTCTGGCGTGGCGACTCATGCAGCCCGTGGCGAGGCGTCGCCACGCTATATCTATATATATAAAACTCAAAGGTGACTGACTGACATAGTGATCTATCAACGCACAGCCCAAACCACTGGACGGATCGGGCTGAAATTTGGCATGCAGATAGATGTTATGACGTAGGCATCCGCTAAGAAAGGATTTTGATCAATTCTACTCCCAAGGGGATAAAATAGGGAACGAAAGTTTGTATGAAACTTTGTCAATTTTAAACCGATCGGGCTGAGACTTTGCATGCAGGTATAAGAAGAATCATAGATGAATGTCATTGTGTATAATACAAGCCTGAGAACAAAAACTGTAGTCTACACTTCAGCTCCACACCGAAGCGAAGCGAGGGCGGGCCGCTAGTGATGGTATATATAGTCTATATGCAGTAGTGAGAACGGTGTGGCGTCGCGTCGCCATGTGCAATCGAATTCGGTTTTTGTATTTAATGAAAATAATATGTTTATTAAATAAACAGTCATAATTTTCTGGAAAAAATCGTAATATTTTATTTTATCATTATGCCATATTTAATTGCTATCTCAATCTGTTCTTTTCTGCATATTACTTTTACAAAATAATGTCGATGTTTCACATCTGCCAGGCGTCCCGTGACGGCTCACAATTTTTTTTACATACATATATGTACCTATTAGATGTACCCCGCAGTGTTAAAACGTAGCCTGTGCTTTAATCCAGGGTGTCAGCTAACTCCATACCAAATTTTATTAAAATCGCTCCAGCCGTTTAGACGTGAAGAAGTAACAAACATACACACTCACAAACTTTCGCCTTTATAATATTAGTGTGATATCTAAAGATTTTTACTAGGAATAATTTTATTTGTACGAGAGCTAGAGAACATGTAAGCTGGATTCTAGTAAAATTCCTTACTCATAAAAAAATAGTTCATCCATCCATCCTCATCATCATCCTCAGGCTATTTATGTCCCCACTGCTGGGGCACAGGCCTTCCCTATGAATGGAATAGGGAGATGAGATTGGGCAATGATCCACCACGCGAGCCCAGTGCGGATTGGCGGGTGCTAACGACTGCAGATGCAACCGGGACCAATGGCTTAACGTGCCTTCCGAAGTACGGAGGAGTTCGAGAAAGAAGATTTTTGGTCACCCATCCAATGACCGACCACTGCGAAAGTTGCTTAACTTCAACGATCGCGGCCGAACGCGCTAACCCCCCGGGCCATCGAGCTCCTCTATAAATAGTTAATCAATTCAATTTGTGGCTTTCCACAGCTAAGAATATTATATCTGCTTGTCTTTATGTCTATACATCACTCATCTGGAGTACCCTTTATTAATAACCGAGAGATAAGCAGTTGTACCACCGCCGGCGACGGAGCGACTAACTATCAGCTCGCTCAAGAAAAGTTCAACATACATTCCGTGTAAAGAAGATATGCTTAATATATGTTTTAATCGTTGATCGCTGACTGTTCACACAGCCGGCGAGAAGTAGCTTAACTAGTTTGTCGCTGAGCAACTACAGCTATCAAAGATAATACTCGCTCAGCGATACTGGCTCAGCGATGCTCGCTTGTCTCAAAACGCAGGCGCGTGCATCTTTGCTGAGGACTGACTACGCGAGCGAGTGGCGCGAGTAATCGCCAATCACTCTCGCTTATAGTCCAGAGATAAAACTATCGGAACTACATACGCGCTTCTCACTGCTCGCCAACTCGTTTCTAGTTTCTAACAGGGGTGATGACGGTGTACAGTAAACGAAATTCTATTTAGTCCGTCAGTTAGATGATCAAAAAATAATGGACAAGTATTTTTTCTTTGGACAATCAACCTAAAAATGACAAAGTTATAGCGCGTCAAAGTTTGGGAGTAGGGGCTCGTGACGTCACTTTTGAGTGAATTTTCACTTATAAGTGTACTCAAACGTGACGTCATGCGACTTTTCAAATCAATATGTCTCTGCAATGTTTATATTATGTGAAAAAAGAAAAAATACGTGTCCAAAACTTTTTGATAATCTACCTGATAAACGAAGAAAAAAAAATTAGTCATCATGATAAGTGCCATAGGCAGTTTTTAGTTTTTTTTTTGTTTTTCCCGTATACGACTAACTGTCGGCTATTTTCTCGCTCAAGAAAATTACAAGAGATATACACTTCTGGACACATCTATTGGCCCACCTTAGAGTTTAGGTTTCGATGGCCTCTACCGAAATATGATTGCTAGATTGAACAAAAACTGTTGATGCAGTTTTAAACCTGATACATTTTACCATCTTTTTCGATCGTATTGTTTTAAATTTGAATTCAGAATACCATACGATATGGAGCTACGCCTAACAAGTCGGATATGCGCCTTGTTAAAGGCAATTGATTTTTGAATAAAAAACATGTTTTATCAAATAAAGGTTTAATTTAATAACGCGTGTTGCCTCCATGGGCATCTATCACAGCTCTCATACGATTAGGCATAGAGTTTATCAACCGCTCTATGAAATTTTGAGGGATCATCTCCCATTCCTCTTCTATGGCAGTTTTCAACTCCTGCATCGTCTGGGCAACTAGCTGACGAGCCCTAACACGTCTTTTTAGGTCGTCCCACATGTGCTCAATGGGGTTCATGTCTGGGCTTCTGGCTGGCCAGTCCATAACTGTGATGTTCACATCCCGAAGATATTCCCTGAAGATGCCGGCCGCATGGGCTCTTGCATTATCATGCATAAAAAGGAAATTTGGGCCCACATAGTCCGCGTATGGTATCACGTGAGGTTCTAAGCACTCACGAATGTACCTTTCAGGATTTAATGTTGGCAGCCGTGGTCCTGTAACAACCTCAAGTTGAGTTTTGCCGCTCGCGGATATACCGCACAGTCCATGAGCCACCGCCCGTGTGCGGCGACAATTATCTTAGTCAGCCACTTTAGTAGCCGCTTCTAGCTTCTCGTGGCGGCGTTTGTGGCTTTGGCGTGTGGCCCGTGTGCGGCGACACTTAACTGCTTCCTGTTCCATACCCGGATACCCTTCTGCACTCCTTTCTTTTGCTTATTGAAAGCAGTAGATCCCCAGTCTTTTACAAAATCTTTTATTTATCAATGTATATAAAGTCCAAAAGCAAACTCTTTAAAATAAAAATGAGGTTTCTGGTTTTTTTTTTTTTTTTTTTTTTATAGATAGATCCGACAAATGACTCCACCCCACCTGATGTTAAGTGAAGGTGAAGTCCAGACGCGAAGATAGCTGATACAGCAGTTCTAACTGCCACACCAGCCATCCTCACCCTGCCGGCCTGCAAGTTGCTTCTTCACGCCTCTTTTAAAGGATCCCAGGTTGTAAGAGGGAGGGAACACGTGAGCGGGCAGAGAATTCCATTTACGGATAGTACGACATAGAAATGAGTCACCAAATTTCTTTGTACGCGTTGGAATTGTAGCCACAGTTAGACGGTGACAACGTAAGCCAGCGCGCGTGGTCCTCTGCAGGAAAGGGGAAGGTGGAATAAGAGAGAATAACTCCTCAGAACACTCGCCGTGGTACAGACGATAGACGACTATGTAAACAATCAGACATTAAGTTATTAAATAACAGACTCAATAATTTGCATGGGTGGGCGATAATTTTAAGGTATTAAAGTAACTTTAATAATTAAGAACATGATTAGTCTGAACACATCATATGAAAAAAAATTATTTTTCTTTATTGATTTATCTTTAACAAAGTTTCTACAGCAGTTTTTTTGTGGAATTTAATACAATAAAATATAGATACAATGTTAAGGCCAATTACAGAAACTCATTATGTACACATTAGATACTAACGGCGTTATTTTAAGTCAGTAAGTATTACATTTAATTTTAAAAATTGTATAAAAATCATATAATTTACTAACATAAATAATAAAATAAAAGTGTGTGTGTGTATGTGTGTGTGTGTGTGTGTGTCCGTCCATGCAGCTGCAATACTGCAATAAAAAAATGACGTATTGTATAAAAAATAATTCCCAATCCTAAGCAAAAATACTTATTGCACAGCAAAATAGTAACCTCAATATATTGTTATATTAGTAACAAATTAAGTTCGTGATGCATCGCTATTTATTTAAAACTAAGGCTTTTATAAGAATGCATATTAATAATACCCACCTCACAACAAATCAACTGCATCATTTTTTTTAAACAAACATATTTTTGTAATATAAGTTATTTACGGGATTGCTACCACGTACCTTGTTTTTAGCGAGTTTCCGATATTTCGGCACTGTTGCAAGCGCCATGATCACGGAGTAACTGAAGTAATTGCGGGTAGGCTGTTATTGGCAGATATATCGGTGTACCCTCCGACGAAGTCTTTTATTGCGTTCGATACCCGTACCACTGTTCACATTCTCACTATTCACTCGGAACTGTTCTCGACACACAACACTTACAGTATCGGATCGCGACACGACACTTTTTGATTATTTCCGGTTTTACACATAGGAACCACAGGATTCCAGACACTCGACAATCCCGTAAATAACTTATATTACTGTAATGTGAGTTGACATAATTTTATCTCATACAGCAGTTTACCTAAGTGAAACACCATTAATTGACATAACAATCTAATTATTTATTTATTATTACGACACAATGAGATCAACAATCAACTATAACATCTGATACAAAAAGTAACGCCTACTTTTCGGTAATTAAAGCAGGTCTTGCTCTATCGGGACGTCCACGCTTTCTTTTTTGTCCGATTGGTATATTTTAGATTGGAGGAGCTCGATGGCGTAACTGGTTAGTGCGTTCGGCTGCGATCGTTGAAGTTAAGCACCTTTCGC